TACACACACACACACACACACACACACACACACACACACACACTTCTTTACGTTAATTCAGCCCAATTGATCTTGACAAAGTCTCTGTGCCTACAAATTCATATCTTCCTTTTTCTATAACAAATGTTGCTGCACACCATTTATTCAGACCCCCATATATACGGTAGTTATTTTTCAAATGCACATTATTGCATGACTGTACTCCTTAGTAAAATAAGACTATGTATTATTTACTTCTAAAAGAATGAGTATATCAGTGCAACTATTTTATGTAACAATAACATAAATGCGATAAATATACATTACCTGCGTATTAGATATAATCGTGCATAATACACATGTGATGTGTATAAATAATAGTCTATAAATGCATCTATCTTCCCATAGAAAAATCCGACTGCGAGAGAGATTTAGGAGTAATGATAAGTAGGAACCTTAAGCCAAGTAAACACTATGTTCTTGCTCGTAACAAGGCTAATAAAGTACTTGGGTTCAAACAAAGGAGTGTTAGTTACAAGACTAGCGAGGTCATCCTAAAACTGTATCTTGCTCTTGTGAGACCACACATGGATTACGCAATTCAGTTCTGGTCACCGTATTACAGAATGGATATAGAATCCTTGGAAAGAATTCAGAGGAGAATGACATGGCTAATCCCTGGCATTAGGAACCTTGAGTATAGAGACAGGTTAAAGCATCTTAATTTGCACTCCCTCGAGAGACGTAGAGCGAGGGGCGACCTGATAGAGGTGTATAAGTGGAAGTCAGGGCTGAGCAAAGGGGACATTACAAAGGTACTCAAACTATCCAACCAGGAGCGAACTCGTAACAATGGTTTTAAATTAGACAAATTTAGATTTACGCGTGAAATAGGTAAACACTGGTTTGGAAACAGAGTAGTGGATGAATGGAACAAGTTACCAAATATCATCATTAACTCGAATACGCTGAATAGCTTCAAACATAGGTTGGATGCTTATATGAGCAATAGGGGTTGGGTGTAAACGGGACTGCCCAGTATGGGCCAATAGGCCCACTGCAGTTTCCTCCATTCTTATGTTCTTACGTTCTTATGTTATCTTAATATTAAACCCTGCAATTTACATAATATTTTCTGCATATATCGTGCGTCTGTAAAGCTGTTCTAGGGTGCGAAATTTACCATTGTAAAGGGTGCGCCAGGGGATAGGGTGTGAAATTTACCATTGTAAGGGGTGCCCAGGGGATAGGGTGCGAAATGTACCATTGTAAGGGGTGTCCAGGGGATAGGGTGCAAAATGTACCATTGTAAGGGGTGCCCAGGGGATAGGGTGCAAAATGTACCATTGTAAGGGGTGCCCAGGGGATAGGGTGCATGTGTCGGTCACACAATATATATATATATATATATATATATATATATATATATATATATATATATATATATATATATATATATATATATATCTTAGTTCTTGATTTGATAAGTGGCAGGGCGGAAGTAAACACTTTGTTGGTTTTGCTTTATTGTAGAAAAGTATAGTTTCACAGGTACTGAGTTCAGTTGAGAGTATATTTTACCTTCTGCTTCAGGGAAATGTCTTAGTACACTTATATAAGAGAGCACTTAAGTGAGATGTTCACTGGGTAACAGGTGATATGATAGTCTCTCTCTCACCAAGGAGAGGGAGTTGTCAGGCGGGCCTTACAGGATACGCGCCAGGTTGTTGTTGTTGAACTGTGCAACCAAGCTTATCTCGCCTGCTCCCAGAGGAAATGTCAACTCACCAATTGATTCATACTATGGATGAATGACTTGGTGAATATATGGGTAATATACATTTGGGTAAATATTTATATAATACAAATTGTGCTGTTACATGCAAAATGTATCATTAGGGTGCACACTGCAGGGTGGTAGAGTGCAATTTGCCATTGTAAGGTAGGGGTGAAAATTTACCATTGTGCGCTGCAAAATTTATCATTGTAAGGGGTGCGCAGGGGGGTAGGGTGTGAAATTTACCGTTGTAAGGGCTGCGCAGGGGGGTAGGGTGTGAAATTTACCATTGTAATTGGTGTGCAAGGGGGTAGAGTGCAAAATTTACCATTGAAAGGGGTGCACAGGGGGGTAGGGTGTGAAATTTACCATTGTAGGGGGTGCGCAGGGGATAGGGTGCAAAATTTACCATTATAAGGGGTGTGCCCCCCCTGGATCCACTACTGTTACTATGCCATTATGTGAATCTGTTGTTAAATTTTGTAGACCTGTCTTTATTTTGGTTTCCCTTAATAGCTCTTTATATCAGGGGCGGATCCAGGAATATCAAAAAAGGGGATCCAAGAAATTGTGGGTGGGGGAACATGGCGAGCGCAGTGAGCCTACTCAATATCTTGGGCATTTTGAGGCCATATGCACTTGATATTAGGAGATATTCTTAAGTCAATAGTAAATACTTCTTACTATGCAAAAATGCCTGAGTACAATACTGCATTAACGAAAAAGTATTGGAATTTTCTGGTGAAAAGGGGGGTCTAGACCCCCAGGACCCCCCCCTCCCCCCTTGGGTCCGCCTTTGTATATTATATTGAAATGAAATGAAATGAAGAAATGGAGAGAACAGTTTTAGAGTAACAATCAATTTTTAATCATCTCTGGCTTAACCCAAGTCAAAATTGCGAGATGAGCAGTTCATATTAATTCAGTTTACATAAAAAGTATCATGGACGACGGTTCTACGCCTGTTTATCCATAAGAACATAAGAAAGTGGGATACTGCAGGAGGCCGACTGGCCCATACAGGGCAGGTCCCTTTCACACCCATCCCAGCACTTCCATGTGCCTATCCAACTTCGTCTTGAAGCTCCCTAGCGTCCCCGATCCTACTATAGCACTCGGTAGCCTATTCCACATATCCACAACTCTATTACCAAACCAGTGCTTGCCTATATCCTTTCTGAATCGGAATTTATCTAATTTAAAGCCATTTGTTCTAGTTATTTCGTTATTACTGAGCTTCAGAACATCTTCCATTTTACCCTTGTTAATCCCACTTACCCACTTGAACACCTCTATCATATCTCCCCTAACTCTACGCCTCTCTAATGAATGCAAGCCTAAGCTTTTCAGTCTTTCTTCATATGGAAGGTTTCTAATATTATGGATCATTTTTGTCATTCTTCTTTGTACTCTCTTCAAAGAATCTATGTCCATCCTATAATAAGGACACCAGAATTGAACGGCATAATCCATGTGTGGCCTCACTAATGCTAGGTAAAGTTTCAAGATAACCTCAGCAGTTCTGTTACTCACACTCCTAGATATGAACCCAAGAATCCTGTTTGCCTTGTTGCGAACGCTAATACATTGTTTACTAGGTTTCAAGTCGTTGCTAACAAATACACCTAGATCTTTTTCACAATCTGAGTTTTCTATTTCCGTGTTACCTAGTTTATACTTAACGTTTGTATTCGTCTTCCCTATCTGTAGTACCTTGCATTTATCAGTATTAAAATTCATTTGCCAGTCTACTGACCACTCATGTAAGGTATCTAGATCTCTTTGAAGGTGTTCAAAGTCACTGTCTGAATTTATCACTCTCCCCATTTTGGTATCATCTGCAAATTTACTAATCCTACTAGTTATACCTAAATCAAGATCATTAATGAATATAACAAACAGCAGAGGGCCTAATACAGATCCCTGGGGAACTCCGCTTTTGACACCCCACCCCAGTCTGACTTATCCATTTATGCTGACTCTTTGTTTCCTACCAGTTAACCATGACCTAATCCATTTTAATAATGATCCACCTATTCCATGTGCTTCTACCTTCCTTATCAATCTCTCATGAGGGACTCTATCTAATGCTTTACTGAAATCTAAATAAATTATATCATATAACTTATTATTATCTACAGCTTCATATACTTCTGAGAAAAAGCTAAGCAAATTTGTGAGACAAGAACGTCCCTGGGTGAACCCGTGCTGAGAAGAATGAATTAAGTTGAATGTTTCAAGGTGGCTTCTAATTTTCGTAGCAATAATTGACTCAAGCAACTTGCCTATGATTGACGTGAGACTAATGGGACGGTAATTTGATGCAATTGATTTATCACCTTTTTTGAAAATCGGAACTACATTTGCAAGTTTCCAAGCTTCTGGTACTAGGCCCGATTCTAATGACTTATTAAATAAAACTGCTAATGGATTACTCAACTCGTCTCTAGATTCTTTTAATATTCTAGCATATACCTCGTCTGGACCAGGCGATTTATGAGGCTTCAGTTTGTTAATTACTTTAAGCACATCGTTACTAGTAATATTGATATTCATCAACATATTTTCTATACTGTCGTTATATACCTTATGAACTTCTGGAAACTGTGCTAGGTTTTCATTTGTGAATCTGGGCGAAAATGACTATTTAACGTACTACACATTTCTAACTCATCATCAGTCATTTCTCCTGTCGTAGTTTTAAGGGGACCTATTGTATCTCTAACCTTTGATTTATACAGTTGATAAAAAGCTTTGGGGTTATTTTTCGATTCGTTTGCTACCTTGATTTCATAATTTCTCTTTGCTTTCCTAATTTCTGTTTTTACCTGTCTTGTTAGGTTCTGATAGTAACCAAGTAAGTGATTTTCGCCTTTCTTAACTTTTCTATATACTCCTTTCTTTTTCCCTAGAAGATCTAAGAGTCTATTATTCATCCATTTTGGTCGGTTCCGTATCGATCTGAATCAATCGAATCCAAATCTGTATCTCACTACGTTACTCTAAATAATAAAGCTAGTATAAGTTTATCTTACACTCCAGTGAGTGTAATGACAGCTGCGTGCCAGTCACCAACACACACAGAAATAATAGCAGTAAGACGTTGTTTATCATGAGTTAATGGCAGGGTATTGCAAATTGTGCATAAAATTATTTTTTACCGGTGCTGGCATAACATGTCAGCGCCTAGACAAACAGGAAAACACCTACAACACAAGTAAATATAACAAATTTCTTACCCTAGAACAAGCTGCTGAACGGGATGGAGGAACTGAAGCTGAGAAGACGAGAGAAAGCACTGCAGGTGTTTCTAAGACTGATGACGTAAGCTTGGGCGAGGAAAATAATGAAAAAGAAGATGAGGAAATTAAGGATTTAAGCAGCGAGGCAAGTGGCGTGAATAAGGAAACAGAAGATGAGGAAAATGACGTGGATAACAGCAGTGCAGTAGAAATAGAGGAAATTGGCGAAGCTGGTTTGGAGATCAGGACACGGTTGGTGGTAGGCTTGGAGAACGGGTGGGCTAGGGGCCGTGTGGAGGAGGAACAGCTTCTTGCCTCCGCCCATAACTTCAACTATAACATCGAGGTAAGACTTGAGGTAAAGTTCCCCCCCCCCCCACACACACACACACCACTGGGCGATATCATCGAGCTTACTTGTAATAACTTTATATTAATCTGAATAACCGAAAAATATCACTGACTTGTAATGGTGGATAGTTCTGTGATATCTCAAAGACAGATTATTAACCACCCGCTTCCTCCTCCTAAAGGTAAATGAGGACAGTGAAGTTCCCAGCTGTGACGAAAACGGAGACAACTTCCTTATGATCTTCCTGCCCAGGTAAGAAACATTTTTAAACTCATACCTTTACATGATCATCTTAACTGTTTTTTGTTTTGTTTTTATTCTGGGGCACTTATTATTTTCAAGTCTAATTTCCATACCACATAAGCACTGTAGAGTAGTGTATGTGGCCAGTTGTCTAATTTCTCTTTGTGTTTGTCTATTTCTCTTTGTTAGGCTCACATACATACGTACATGTAGGAGATCTCACACTAAGGATGGAGGTGAGAAAGGAAACTCACAATGGCGTTTTATATATATATATATATATATATATATATATATATATATATATATATATATATATATATATATTGCATTATATGTACAGAACAGTCTGGTGCTGGGAAGTTGCTGCTTGGTAGAGGAGTTGCTGTGGAGGAGCTTCTTTAGAGGAGGTCTTCTCTGCTTAAGAACGTGGTGTTGTCTGACCTTCACGACATGACATGACATAAATGCTAGTGACAGAGGGGAAGGATAAAGGGAGGATTGAAGTGAATTTTAGAAGGAGGTAAAGGTGCCGTGGCTAAACACAGCTTGCGTGAGGGAGTTTAAGTTGGAGGCAGCAACAACTCGCCTGGACGCGGCGAGGAGGCGGGAGGACAGAGTCAGGTGAGCGTCAGGTCAAGCGTCAGGTGCGTGTTGGGTTGGGCCATGGTTTCTCAGTACTTGGTCGGCTTGATTGTGTGTGTTGTTTTCTTGTTTGGAGGAAATGTCTTGGTCTTCTGTCTTGGTATTCTTCTTAGCTTGAAGTTGATTTTCTTCTTACTCTCCTCCTCTTCTTGCTCTCTTGAAGTGTCCATTCATTCGTGTTTGGGTCTTGTTCTTCGTCTTCCTCGTGTCTTATGTCCTCATAGGTGTGGAAGAAGTCGGAGACGGTGAGGTTGACCACGTGGGCTTCAGCTCCACGGGCCTCGTGGTGTTCTTGATTCTTTGTGACGTGTGTCTTTTCTTGAGTTTTCTTTTCTTGGGTTTTCTTTTCTTGATTTTTCTTTTCTTCTGTTTTTTTCTTGTCTTGGGAGCGTACAGCACGAATCGAATCGAATCGAAAAATGCTAGTGACAGGGGGGAAGGAGGTTCAGGAGAAGAATAAAGGGAGGATTGAAGTGAATTTTAGGAGGAGAGAATAGGTGCAGTGGCTAAACACCGCTTGCGTGAGGGAGTATAAGTTGGAGGCAGCAGCAACTCGCCCGGACGCGGCCAGGAGGCGACAGGACAGAGTCAGGCAAGCGTCAGGTCAAGCTAGTTAGGCCGCACCTCGATTATGCGGTTCAGTTCTGGTGCCCCTATTATAGAATGGATATAAATTCACTAGAGTCGGTGCAGCGAAGAATGACAAAAATGATTCAGGGACTTAGAAACCTTCCATATCAGGATAGGTTAAAGAAACTTAACTTGCATTCCCTAGAAAGACGAAGAGTGCGGGGAGATATGATAGAAGTATTTAAGTGGGTGAAAGGAATCAATAAAGGGGATATAGATAAAGTTCTTATAATATCCGAGCAGGATAGGACTCGGAGCAACGGATTCAAGTTGGATAAGTTTAGGTTTAGGAGGGAGATAGGAAGAAACTGGTTCACAAATAGGGTGGTGGACGAGTGGAACAAGCTTAGCAACTTTGTAGTAAGTGCGGGAACTCTGGAGAGTTTCAAGGGGAGGCTGGATAGATTCATGGATGATAGAGAGTGGTAGTGGCTCTCGACGGGAGCTGCCATGCACGGGCCAACCGGCCTGTTGCAGACTCCTTATTTTCTTGTGTTCTTGTGTTCCTGTGTCAGGTGCGTGTTGGGTTGGGCCATGGATTCTCAGTGCTTGGTCGGCTAGATTGTGTGTGTTGTTTTCTTGTGTGGAGGAAATGTCTTGGTATTCTTCTTAGCTTGATGCAGATTTTCTTCTAACTCTCCTCCTCTTCTTGCTCTCTTGAAGTGTCCATTCATTCGTGTTTGGGTCTTGTTGTTCGTCTTCCTCGTGTCTTATGTCCTCATAGGTGTGGAAGAAGTCGGAGACGGTGAGGTTGACCACGTGGGCTTCAGCTCCACGGGCCTCGTGGTGTTCTTGATTCTGTGTGGCGTGTGTCTTTTCTTGTGTTTTCTTTTCTTGGGTTTTCTTTTCTGCTGGTTTTTTCTTGTCTTGGGCGCGTACAGCAAGGAGGGCCTCTTTGTAGCTCAGTTTCTTGTCGAGTAGCGCCTTGGCTATCCTGCATTCCTCCTTCCATTTCGGGCAGGTTCGATCGGCGGAGGAGTGTGGGCCGCCACAGGCAGCGCATTTTTTTACTGTGTTGGGGCAGACCGTGTAGCGGTGTCCGGGGTTGCCGCACAGGGAGCAGGTGTCCTCCTACGCCTCACACTTGTTGACAGTGTGTCCGTAGTGCTGGCATTTGTAACAGCGTTTCGGTCTGCAGTAGGGCTTGACTGGCACAGTTACCCACGCCAGTTGAGCCTCCTTGGGTAAGGTTGTATGGTGTCCGATGAGGGCAGTGGTGTCGGACAGCTTCTTCACAACTTGGAGTTGCCCCTTGAGGAGCTCACTCAGCTCTGCTTGGTCCACGTGGGCAATTTCGGCGTGGGAGATTACTCCCAGCTTCAGGTTGTCCTACTTGTAGGCAATCATTTTAAATGGAATGCCGTTGATGTCTGGGATCTCCGCGAGCTGTACGGGCATACCCTTCTCGGCGAAGGTGATCTTGATGTCACCATGGAGCTCCAGTCGTTCCACCTTGGTGACCCCCACGATCTCATTAGTTTCAAAGAACTTCTTGAGAACTAGGAGGTTTAATTTCTTGGGGCAGGTCGGCGTATCCGCGCCACGTTATCAAACTCGTAACCGTTCATGGTGAGAGAGGGTTAGAGAGTCGTACAGCACGGCGAAGCATGGGGTATTTATATCATTCTGCCGGATCAAGAATCGAAATGCAAAGAAGAGAAATGCTGATGATTGGCTAAGATGAAGGCGGCACTTGACCAATCACCGCACAGTTCAAACGCAAGGCCTGATTTGTGGAACTCGCCGCTGGCTGGCTGGTAAGCGGACGGCAAGTGACCAATCAGCAGTTGTAGGGGAGAGTATCCACTACAATACTCCACCCTTCTCCCCACAAGCGCTGCAGGAAACTTGTTGTCGGCAGGGTTGTATCCCACATGTGAGACAGAACGGGTGGGGATGTGAACCACTCGGCTGCTATGGGTGACGACTCCGTCTAGTGACACAAAATCTGTGGGAGAAGCAAAGGGAGAAGGAGGATTGTAGAATAGAGAAGGTTGAACGGCGGGAGGAACAGGCGAGGAATGTGGTGTTTCTCTTGCGGCAGGTGCAAAGTCCTCGGGGGCGCCGGGTGGGGTGTCTGGGTCCATAGGGCCGGATGCAGGATCCTCATCAGGAGCAGGGTCAGGAGCACTAAGTACCTGAGGGAAAAAAAAGAGGGTGCTGCAGGCGGCAATGGTAACCAGACAGGTGAAGGGGGCGCAGGCATGGTTTGCTGGAGGGAATGTGGTGTTTTTTTGGCGGCAGGTGCACACTCCTTGGGGGTGCTGGGTGGCATGTCTGGGTCCACAGGGCTAGGTGCCTGATCCTCAACAGGAGCAGTAGGTCTCTCAGAATGAAAGGAGGGCACATAGAACTGTTGTGGACAAGGTGGTGCTGCAAGTGGCAACTGTGGGCAGACTGGCGCAGGTGTGGCTTGTTCGGGATAATGCTGGGCTGGGGGCCCATAGGGTAAGGTGGCCGGCTTCATGTGATCGATGCTAACGGAATCGTGGCTGCCATTGCGAATGATAGTCAGGAACTTTGCTGACCGTGCAAAAACCGGGAAGGGTCCGTCGTAGGGGCGTTGAAGTGGGTTGTGGTGATCATCGCGCCTGATGAAGACATACTCGGCTTTGAGTAGTGCAGGAGGGATGTGTTCAGGGCGATGGGAAGGCTGGCGTGGGGCAGTAGCTTTGAATGCAGAAACTGCATGTCGTAGTGTTTGCAGTAGGTCGTGACGGACGGCAGGAGTGAAGTGGTCAAGGTCAGGAGTAAGTGAGAAGTCCCCAGGTAGGCGAAGGGGCTCGCCGAGGTTGAGATCTGCTAGGCTGCAGTCCATGTCCTCTTTGTGTGATGTGCAGATGCCAAGGAGCACTAGGGGTAGAGCATCCATCCAGCTGTAGGGGTCGTGCTGTGCCTTGATGGCGTCCTTCAGCTGCGAATAAAACCGCTCTACCATGCCGTTGGATTGAGGGTGGTAAGCAGTAGTGCAGTGTCTGGAAGTGCTGAGGAACTGCAGGAGATTATGCCAGAGGTGAGACTCAAACTAGACTCCTTGGTCAGTGATGAGAGTCATGGGAGGACCGAAACGGGAGACCCAACCAGACAGGAAGGTGCTGACGGCTAACTTTGCTGTAGCATTAGGCATGGGAATGGCTTCTGTCCACCTGGTGAAACGGTCAATGCAGGTGAAGATGTAGGTGTTGCCGCAGGATGATGGAAGAGGTCCCACGATGTCGAGGCGCACTACCTGGAAGCATCCTTTGGCTACAAGAAAGGTTTCTAAGGGAGCCCGTGTGTGTCGATGTATCTTAGAGGACTGGCAGGCCAGGCACTGGGCAGCCCATTTCCGAGCATCAGCCTTGATGCCGGGCCAGATGACACGTTGCGTGAGAAGGCAGTGGGTGGCTGAGACCATGGATGCGGTAGAAGATGGAGCGGCAATGGATGTGAGGCACAAACGGTTTAGGCTGCCCACAGGACATGTCGCACCACAACTTGATGTTCGAGCTGGGAACGGGTAGTTCTTGGAGGGCGAGATCTGAGGGAGATGTCTTGTATGCTGCAAAGTCTTCATCATTCTCTTGAGCTACGGCAAGCTTTATGTAATCCATGGGTGTAGATGAGGGAAGAATGCTGGATATATAACGAGAGAGGGTGTTGGCGATCTCGTTGTGGCTGCCCTTGATGTGTTGGATGTCGCTGGTGAACTTCGAGATAAGCCAAGTGGCGAAGAGCACGAAATGTATGTGTCT